CTAAAAATGCCTGATTTATGTCTTAACAACGAACAGCCTACAAATGATAAGCCAACGATATAAATAGCTTTAGAGCTTATTGGTCATATCGCTGAAAATGTTGTCGTGGAATATTTGTATAACAGTACCACTGATTATGCTTGAATGGTCTATCTGTATTTCCAGTAATCCGATCACACCAAAGTGTGTGATTGTGCCACTCATTTATCAAGAGCACACAGTTTACTTTTATTCGAACTAAGAATACCTGAAGGTAAGAAGAGCAAATTGGCTCGCGTATGGAGCTAAAACTTGTTTTGAGAATGGCAGCAAATCCGTTGTAAAGCGTCATAAACTCTTCATATTTGTCCGGTAGGACACGCACGCTAGTCTCTCTTAAGCAACTTTTTCAGGATAATAACAATCTACCATGCAAACATACAAATAGCCTCCGAAAAATATGGTATGGCTTTTCCCAGTGAGATTAATGCACTGATATTCTCAAAGTGCCAATGTCACAGCTATGGCACTACGGATACATTGTGCGGGAATATTCCGACATTCCACTGGCATAGGCTAATTACCTTTCCTAAACTCTCATTCCCCAGCTTTTGGTATGCTAATATCAATATAGTAACTGTACTGAGAAAGTAATATGAATTTACTATATTAGTACGCCTGCAGTTTTCGGAACGGATGGTGATGTGAAGCGCGAAGTTAGCCAAGAAATATGCACAAACATTTCGAGGATGTTTAAAAAGCTGGTTCACAACATCTGGCAACACAATAACAGTATCCAGAATTTTGGGCGCTGCTAGGGTTCGTGGATTTCCTAGTGATACTACCTAGCGTAGGCAAAACTAAGGAGGTTTAAATTTAACTAGAAGGTAATAAACTATTATAGAGATTTAGTTGCTTAGCGCGTAAGAAAAGCTGTTTCTGTCACTAGAACTCATGTCATATTAAAATACTGATTACGCGGAAAAGTTTCGCTTAAGCGGCTGAGGGTAAGACCAGCATAAATTTCATGTAAGTGAAATTTCCAAAATATTTCGCTTATCAAAACCACAAAATCGATCTAGGAAATTCGCCAACCTTAGAAAACGGTGGGTAGATCTTTTTCTCTGTACGCATCATCGGTTTTGCTTAAAGTATTAGCAACTCTATATAAATATTAAGACCAAGCAATTGTTGGTCTGTATTAACAGTCGCGTTTCCATGGAGTTGATGCTTTTTCATTTTGCCAAACACAAGCATTATGGTGTGCGGCGTGTAGCGAGGAAAAGAATGGTGTTCTGCTACAATACTTGGACAACATATATTAAAAGCCTCTGACAAAACGAATCATTTTTGATGCATTTAACAGTACAAAATATTTGTGTAATAGACTACATAACCGATAGATATAAGCATAAATACTGATTTAGCGGATCGTCCTACAGCAGAGCGACACTTGTTCAGTGATTCATACATGTATCCGCAATTCCGTCCATACGTAAACGTTAAATGTAGAGACTAGCATACTGTTTTAACTTATAGCTTTGAGATGATTTATATAATTCAACTAGTGCTCAGTGGAAATTTGAGATCCCATGCAGATAAAGCGATGCATGTATAGCAAATCTGGTTGAAATTCGATGTAACTTGTGAGAGAATTTTTCCATCTGCCATTCGCATTTTCAATGCTTGCATATTTAATTCGACAGCCAACGTTAAATTCATTAATTAATACCCTACTACAAGCGACACTCTTTCAACTGAACCTGGTCACTCGACACGCCCGGTTCGAAAGCTATGACTGTAAATCTTTGGTCAACAGTTCCATCGAACTTTTGGATTGAGTTTGATGGTGGGCTTAGCAATATGATTACATCCACACATGAATACAGATTCGTATTTCGGCAAAAGAAACATCTTTGCATTGAAGAATCACCTAAGTCATGGCAGTAAAATACCTAACTCAAAGTGTACACAGAGTTAGCCATATTCATGAGAACGGGAGTAACTATGTTGTGATGCGTCATTACTGCACCGAACTTGTCCTTGACGAGAAATTATTACACTAGCAGTGCGCATCCGCAAGCATTTTTGCTAACAACTAGCTTCTAAACAAATATATAAACAGGCTCCGGAAGTACAGCGGAGTGATCCGGCACTCATCTGAGCAGATGCATGTGCACAAACTGTTATGGATGAAGCCAAAACACTACGGATAAAATCTGTTCTGATTATCCGTGACACCACTGACACAAAACACGCATATGTCCTATCTATCCAGACGTCCATATTTACACATGTCACTGAAGTTCAGTGACTATTTTGTGCGATCTGCACTCGTTGTCCTCTCAGAGTTATTCCGGATTGGAAAATATGCCACCAAATAGACTGCAAGTGGCATATACTCGGATAGCTAAACCAGTATCTCGATTTTTTCAAATATGCATATATGCACAGCTAGTTTTTAGCATGTGTTACGTGGGTAGCATTCCCCTACTTTTTAAAGTGGTGGCCGTTTGGAGTCAGCTGAACATCGTTCGGTACTTCTCGTCTCTGTACTCCAGGAGATGTAGTGGATCGTAGCTCAGGCACTAAAGAGCCATCAAGCTAAAACATTCATCATAACAACGTATCAATACGAATATTTAAGCACCAGTTATTCACCATCATCTAACTGCCTTCGCTTAACCGTTGGACCGAAGCAGCCGCTACATGGACCGGTACTTATATTATCTATCTTGACTTTGTAATTCCATCGGCATCAGCGATGAAAGCAACATTCTCTAAAAGCTGCAAACATAAACTTGAAACGGTGTCTTTAGGTGAATGGGAAATTACTTTTTTCTACAGTGGCTTCACGTGCAGGTTTGGGAGGGCTTGCTGATCCTATCGTTGTGGTGTGCGGGGCTCCACGAAGATCGGTTTTGGGGTCGCGCATATTCGTGGCCATCATGCACGATAATGTTCTTATCATAGCGCCTAATGTCCTGCGTTGCGCTAATGCCATTAGGATATGACGGACGATCGGCATTAAGGTAGTTCACACTATGCTGCAATAAAAATTAGACCACACTATTGAGTGTGTAAAAGCTAATCTACTTCCTCACAACAATAGTAAGTACATAAATGTACATGCACGCCACAGACAACTAACCTATCTTAGCGACCACTTCACAGAAGCTTGACGTTAGTGTGTTGTAGCATGACGAATCCAGCTGTTCAATACAGTCCTTGATGTCTTCCACAAGCGTGCACAATCATGCTGAATGCTTACAGAGAGCGTTCTGACGGTTCGACTCTGCAATGATTCCTCATTTGTTTAATCCATATGCGAGGCCACAGTTAAAATACACGCGTCCGGCAGAGTAACTCGGGTTAAAAAGCGATCTGGTTGTACTGGAGGCCCAATAACTTATAATAACTAAAATTCGTTACTAGTTATCATATTCTGCCTGACCACATTAGCCCAACTATTGCTCTCTCCTTGATAAGTTCTTCGTTGTATTGGCCACAGAATCAACGCAATTCAGCTGAGACCCTGTTTCGGGAAAACATTTAGCTATTTTGTAATTTTCTATGTATATATCTCAGTGTGTTAAGGCAGCTTAACCTTGGCTGCGTGTGATAGAATTCAAGGAGGTAAAGGAAAGCACACCCGCATGTGGGACTCCGGTGTGAGACGCGTGGAAGTTTTGAAGGCATGGATTTCCCGCAAGCTTTTGGCGAGGACATGACAACACATGTGTAATAGGTTATACGGAGATCCGCACACTAGAAAAACAGATTGCAAACCTTTGTTTTGAAAAATGCACATTAGACAAAATAGTTAAGTTAAACAAAATGCGCGTTTTGTTTCGTTAAATGAGAATGAAATCGACATTTGACATTTACAGAGGTTGATAAGAATTGTCATATCATCCTGTCTACTAAAAGTGTGCTTCCTACATGCCTGCACTTTGAACTCTTTCGAATATGATATCTCAGGAAAATATCTTTCACCTCCTAGGGTGCCGAAATTAACTTGCATTTTAAAGAGATTTTAGCCTCGTGGGAATTGCTATTTATATAAATTATCTCATGTGCTAACTGATGTACTATCTAAATAAAAGATTATCTTATATTTCATGTTTTCCTTGCATAACGACGAACTCTGGAATATTTGTGCTAGTGCATGCTAGGTAAGAGGTGATGTAGAGACAAGTGTGTTGTGCGAAATTAAGATAAGATGGATGCGGAAATGCCAAATTATTGCCGCGCTAGCTGCCAACTAAAGCACTTTTAGCGAGAAATACAAATATACTTGATGCGACTTAACAGATCAAAAAGATGTTGTTTAGTGTGTTAATAACTTTGGAGAAAATTTGCTTCAACAAATTTCTCTAAACGGTTTGCATTCATGCAATTCGACATCTATTCTGTGTGCTCAAGTGTAGGCCATGATCCTATACTTTGGAAAATGTGTGTACCTAGGTGAATATAATTGTCACGACATTATACATTAAGCGTTCTGATAAACCACCTACGGTTTGTGGACATCATGGAATTGTCAACTGATCAAAATGAACGTAGATTATCTAGGACTTGTGAGTTCAGCAGTAAAAAATTTAAGCACCACCTCAAATTGAGGATCAGTTCGCGATATTTTGCAATATGTTATATTGGAACAATGTCTAAGGAATGGTTGCCCGCTACGGTTCGGACTTATCTCTGGTTTTAAAAAACTAAGAATTTGGAGGACACGGCATTATTAGTTGCTACACAAATGTAACCAATTAAGGGAGAAGAAGGAAATAGATGACTTCCTGTAAAAGATTTTAATGCATCAATTTCAGCATATTCATGGTTTGCATTATTCCACTGCCCAATGGTCGGGGCACCGTGACTGTATCAATTTCCTGAAGTCGAGTATTTACCAGGCAGCAGTTTGCGTTTGTATAACGAATAAAAATACAATTACCAGTTGTTTTCATCAGTTATATGTTGCCGATAAAAATTGTTATATGAATGCCGCTTTGTTATTTTAGTTGGAATATAACCACCGATACCTTTTCGACTATCTATTAATCTTTGACGGTCCGGATTGTTTGGCACCACGGCTTGCAGTTGCCTATGGCCAAACCTACAATACGACACTTAGCTCTCCGCGAAACAGAGTGTCATTGTTATTCATCAGCGATTACGCAGTACAGAATGCTGGTTTTAATCTCATTTACAGGCCAGGTAAGCCAAGCTTCTCACTTGTCTGCAAGTATACACCTTTTTCTTAGCCCGATATACACAGCTAACTTGACATCACTTACCCTTATAGTAGAAACAGCAGCTTAGACAATAAGTGTACATTTGTATGCGTATAACAGTTTGCTGCAACATGGCTGCAGTCCAGACCACTCAAATCCCTATCACCCTTAACCAATTCTAAAAAATGAGGTCAAATAATACTAAAATGTTGAGTCAGTCGGAACAAACAACAATGAGCATTTTGGATTGATGGAGATGACACTGTAATTGCCTTCCTCCTGGACTTCCGTTAGACACTGCAGACAATGCCGTATATAGATATAAAGCGTAGAAAACAACAAACATACCGACGATACCACAAATGCTTCACGCAACCGCTCTTTTAGTCAAATTTGATGTACGTCTAAACAAGTTTGGGACGCACCTTATCCAAATCAACTTAAAGACGAGGTTTTATATCATATCAAAAAACTAGTAACGTTTGACTACAAATTTTTTGGCTTACTCTTATACGTGACCCATTTAACAATTTGTGTTCTTCTAAAGACCGAGGAATTTGCCTGCGAATTTGCCAACTTTAATATCTCCAGGTTACTAAGTCATATAATATCGGCAGTAGTACTGCAAGGAGTTTAAACTCTGGAAACCCGAAGGCCAAAGTTTTGCTACTAGGCAAAGCGGTTATCCGAAAGGACGGACTCGAAAGAGCGGGAGACTTAATTCTGTATTACCGAAGCGACTTACAGTAGGAGGCCATTGAGTTGTCAGATTAGTAGTCAGGTTATTCAATTTGTTGCCACGCGCAGTTAAAATACATTGAAAACCGTCGTAGATATTTTGTTTAGCACCCCTCTAACTGTACACCAGAAACAGACTGTCAACTTGTGACTGAATAAAGGCGCACCTCAGTGAGAAGTTAGACTAACATCATAATTATGGGTAATCTCAAGGTCCGATGCTTAAAACACATATCTATTATTGAGAACAATTCAAAGCCGATCTGCTGGTCCGCTTTCCAAATATCAATTCTCCATTCGGTTTGAAACCGATAACAGAGCATATGTGCTGGATCTTGGGCCTACGAACAAGGAACATAGGAGTGATGCTCTTGTTGTAGTTAGCCAGTTGGGAAGCAGTGAGCAATTTGTTAGTAGTTTCAAATTCGTCTGCTATGTGAAATGTCGTAGAACAGTGAGACGCGCATAAACTTTGTTTGATTATCTTATCTCGGCTGCACTACATCCAAGTCGTTCTTTGCCGAAGAGCCTCTGGATTTCGCTTCCCTCAAGCTCGTCAAAATATTCAGTTGGCTGATTACAGATGTTTCATATAGAAAATATTTTAATGGGGCTATATCACCTTCCAGTTAGAAATAGAGCTCGATAATGAAGTTTAGTAGGTAAAGCAGTATGGCACGCTTTTATAATAGCTCCGACGACATAAACTTTATACATATATATATATATACATTCAACAAGACCAATAGTACCATTGGTGTAGTCTACAACTTTTGGGAAATAAATTGAACCAACGAAGTAGAGAAGAAAAATGGTGTTCGTGGAAAGAATGAGGCACAACAAGTCTGCCATTTCGCACGGTTTCTTGCCCTAAGAATAGTGTATTCACGCCTGCGTGATCCTGAACCTTCACAACCCTACCAGGAAAAGGAGAGCGACAGACCACAGGCAAATGTGACGTTAGCTTGTTCATGCTCCTGGCCCAAGTCATACGTTAACCGAATTGCTTTCGCTTGCAGCCGACTCCTGTATGCACGAAGTAGGCATGACGAGGTTAAGGATGAGTAGGCGTGCGAAGAACACACCCAAGCCATTGAAGTCTGCACAGAGATATTATGCTGCTCAGTGGCCAGGAACGTCTATCTGATCCGAAGTTCCTCATTCAAACGTCTTCATTACAAGAGTGATGTTTCCATCTTACACCAGCAATGCTTCGAAAGCATCGGTGATCGAAAATCGACATTCTCCCAACATTCTGTGCGCGAACAGGCCAAGTCTCACAGCCATAGTGCAGGACTTCTCTTACTGAAGCGTTGTAAACTTGGCCCTACAGTGATAGACGCAGATAGTCTTGACTTCAAAGATGGCGGAGATTGACAAACTTGAGCATTTCTAATGAGCGAAGTGACCTCAACCGTTAAATTACTAACGTTAATAAAGCTTCTGAGATAAAGAACTTATGTACCACTTCTATTGAATGACCTAAACGGGCAAGAATAGTGGCAGTGCCTAGCCACTCCTGAAGGAATACCTTGAATTTGGATTGTGCGAAGATGATTCTAAACTGGGAGACCAACACCCCCAACATGCACAGGACCTTTTGAGCGGTCTTTGAGTTATAGCAGGTTATGGCGATGTCTTCTGCATACTTCAAATGCCGAAGTCGGTCCACCCGAAGAAGCTCGTCGCGGCTGGGTTTGCAGTACTCCAGTGCACTTTCCAGGATTTCACAAATAGCGAAAGTAAACAAGAAGGGGTACGCTGAGCAACAAGCTCACGACAACAATAATACCCGCTCAGTATAGAGCTCCAGGGAGCAGCTCTGTCAACTGAGTCAAACAGAAGACAATGCTCTTTGGTAGGACAAATTTTAGACGGTGCTCAAGTTTTTGGCGAAGGGTAAGGATATGACCTGAGAGGAAACCAACTTGCTATTCACATATGCTCTGTTCGCGCACCAGTCTGTGCTTTCTCAAAAGCAGAGCTGCGAGCAACATGGAAGTAATACACTAGAGACTAATCGCTCTTTACATGGCGCAATCAGTTCGGGTACACTTTTTGCAGACGGGCAAGACAGCCGCTAGGTTTCACTCAGATGGGATAAATTTAGTGACCCGGTTCTCTTGGAGTCGAAATTTAACTCCTGGAAAGTGATGCACCTCCGCCGTTGAAAAGAGCCGGAGAAAGATGTTTGGGTCATATGCTTTGGAGCGCTTTAAGAGATGTACCTCATGGGCAACCTCAGCTTTAGATAGTGGTGAAGCGGCTACACACCAGTGAGCGCTATGGACTTCAGAAAGGAAACCCATCTGTGCTGCGGACCAATTATAAAGCTGCTCAAAATTCTCGGATCAAGGTTCACGCTGTACAAGTTCATCGTCCTATATAACCGCATCAATCAACTGCGCTGAGAAAAGAAACGGTATAACAGTCGGACAAATCTCAAACCATCAGCTCAAGGCAGAACTATAATGCAAGCACGTCAGTGGCATGCGGCATGTGAAGCAAGGTTTTCCATCACTCAGGACGAATTGTGACTCACCAATAGCAGATATGGAAGCGGCTATCGTGGCGAAAATGCAGTTTGTTCCTCATTTCAGTTGACATTGCCATCAAGTATTATACCAGGTATTTCTGCATTGCCTAAATAACTAACTCTCATTTTTTTTACCGTTGAAGCTACATTGGATAGGTTGACATCACAACTCCACGAATGCGTATACCATGCAACCAGACTGAAATGAAATCTGCAGCAAAAGATTGCAGGACCACTGTATCAGGTATTTCAGCGCCGCTTTAAAAAGATCCGGGCCCTTGCAGCTATGTCGAAGCTTGAAATGGTAACTCCTGCGCATAAAAGCAGAAGCAGAATTATGCCTTCAAATACCACCTAGTGTTTGTGCTGCTTCGATTGTTCAGTATCATAGAACAAACCATCGCCGAATGGCAGGTGTGCTATCTGGAAAATTGCATGATTTTTACTGTAGAGCCGCAAAACTTCCATCGAGAGCGATAGTACACACCGAATTAATAACCGCACTAAGTAGTTGGACCAAATTAGCTGACTCTAGGGAAGACTATTATGTGAAGTACCTGGATTTTTCGAAGGCATTTGATCGTTTAGTTCCTCTGATACACTGTCCCAACTCCAGGTTTTCGTAATCGATGACTCATGTCTAGACTGGATTGCCAACCTTTGCTTTCGACTGAAATAGCTGGTCAGAGTTTGGAACTGTTTATCTGACCTCATTCAAGTCGTGTGTTGTGCCACAAGACCCAGATTATGACCAGGGTTACTTTTGGTTTATTTTAATGACTTCGCACTAGCAAACGCTCCAATGTTTACAAAAGACATTAAGATTTAACGCTGGTTTAAAATGAATGCAGAATAGCGTCTGTTTCCGAGTGAACCAGACACAGCACATCACATTAAAATCAAAATGTTATTGCTATTACATGATGATAACTGTATGTAACTTAATCGCAAATTTATCCACATGCGGAAACAACTCGACTATGTACGCACGTTTAGAACACAGGTGCCGCAATAACGTCTCTTCCAACATGAACCATATCTATTAGATTAAGATGAGTTGCGATGTTCCCGACAATCCGTAAAGGTCTCGAATATAGTAACTAACAGGTCAGGTATTGCGACGGGCGTTCGGTCCAACTAACATCTCTGTTTTTCGACAAGTGCACAGTAAAGATTTTTACCCCCATGTCGAATATTCGGTTATAACCTAGGTCCGATGGGTGAAACACAGTCTTATTGTACTGATGAAGCCTCAACATCAGGTCCGAAACGCGCCATTGGAATACTCAGTCTTGCATGAGAGCTGAGATTGAAACGATTCGGGATATTCAGTGGATGATGTGGCAGATTACTTGGCAACTTGCTAATGGTGTACGTACTTCTGCATGAACCGCAGCATGCGTATCGCTCTTCACGAAAGCTCAGCAGTAATACCAACTTGTGAGGTAACTCAGTGAAATTCGCTGTAAATTGTACACGTCCAGAGTACCGCAGGAAATTCATATCCACTGGCGTATGGTATGTTCCATAGGAATCGGTCGTATCTGCACTGGCACTAACAAGATTCAAAAAAAGCTAGATTATGCATACATTAAGCTAAAATTTGTTACTTGCAATATTCTTTATCCTACTGTCGGGATATACCTGAAGGATAGTTGCTATGCAGAACAAACAACAAGCCTTCAAATGAAAATTAAAGTAACATTTTTTTTATAAATGTCTATTACACTGCAAGAACACCCAAACGAACTTGTAATGCAATGCTCCCTATCCCTATAATTGAATTGTTTATATATACGTTGAATTACTTATGTTTATTTCGCCTATAAGTGACGGAATGACTTGCAACCGTTAATAATGATTACTGAATGTGGGTTTTAAAGGTTACACCAGCAGGTATTTTGAGTCCTAATAGGTGTCAGTATGAGTTTTGTGCCATGGGCCCCTCATGTTTTGTACAGCAATGTTTAGCGTGATGGCTTTGGTAGTTATATATTCCTATCTAAATAGTCTTTCAGCGCAACTACATACATAACCCCAGTAATATTTCAGCTCATAGGAGCCTTTGCTTATACTTCTGCGTCCGTTGTAACTTGCGTTAAGGGTACGGCAGTGCGGCGCTCTTCTGCAATGGGATTCTAATGCATTACGGTCTACCGCAGTCAAACAAGGCTCTTTAGTTCAATCGGTTGACTGCTGACGCAATTGCGGTAATCGAATAAGCATGGGCTAGTCTGATGATGGAATCGTGGATGCTCATAATGTCATAGTCCCAATAGGATATTTCATCCGATTTCAGCTACTTTGATGGCCTTTTCTACTATCCGGCTTATAATTTGTGATGGCTCACAAAACGAAACTTTCTATGCTTCTCGTAATCCCAGTTATTCGACCCAGTACTGCATTTTTTTCAACAAAACCCTTATGCTTTATGTTCGATGTGTACTTGATATGGATTCTAAATTCCTCATATATCATGGTGGATATAGCTACGCTATTTCCATTATATTTATTGCTGTGAAGACTGAGATTCTCGCGGCTAGTTGCCAGAGTGCGTTTACATTTTCTATTCATATTAAGTGAACAGATCGGCCTTTAAACAAACGTTTTACATGTTTGTATATATGTATTATGCGAACACGTAATGGGGCGTAATACTTTTGCAAAAACGGACTATGAAATGCAAGAAAAACTTCCACTGTGTATTTCTTTCTTGCGACAGTTAATAGAAAGAGAATTGGTTTTATCTCAACTATCGATTTAAGTCCCCGACTGCAGTTATGATTCAACACTCTCCAAGCTCACGTGCTAGGGCAACATTTGAAATTTATTTGACACAAATGGTAATCATATTCATATTCAGCATGTATTCAGCCGTTCCAGTGCATGCGTTCTACTATCATGTTCATTTTCGTTCGTAACAATTTACTGTGCTTACTCTTTTGCGAACCAGGCAGCTGAGCAACAGTAATTAATGTAGCATAACGTCTGTAGTTTTTACATTTTTGTACAAACTGAGTATTTATTTGTCTTGTTACATATCACACATATATTTTAACTTCCGTTAGAAACAGTGCAGGATCAATGGAAAAGGAATAACGAAAGTGAGTTGAGTAACGGCTTTTTGAGCAATACAATCTCGAAAATTTGATAATATTGCAAAACTTGGCTGCTAGCTCAAATCACACAGAAAATTTTAGCTTATTTGCTAGCTGTCACGTATGCGTTACATCGGGAATCGCGTTGCATTTGGGGCAATATGAACCAGTCAGTCAATTTTGTCTTAATTTATGGACAGTTATCTGCATTATACTACCAACGAATATCAGCTTTTTTCCACTTTTTATCTTGAGATATGTTTAACACAGACTTGGTTGTATATGTTTTATTACGTTTAGATTCAGTGAATAGTACACTGGATGCAAAGTAATGCGCTATATGAATTCCGAAAAATTTAAATGCAGGTCTTCATGTTTAAATAGATAAAACCAGCGTCAAGGCGTAAAAGCGGCTATATACCAACCTGTAAATTTAAATAGCGTTAAAAACACAAATGTAGTGTGCAACAATCCAGGGGGACACGAAAGATCGTCAATAGCTGAAAAACGCAGAGAAGAACTGATAACGAGGGCAGCATGCGCTACAGTGGTCACAGCACACGAATAAAGTCAGGGCAAACACAACGTGCACACGGCAGCGTGTAATTGGCAAAAGTTCAAAATTCAGGTAATTCAAAAAAGGGGTCAACTGTACACAAACCGGAATATAACTACAAAAATAATAATTGCTGTTGTTCATTAAAGCAATTTTCATCTGCTAAACAGTCCAAATTTCTTGGTTGATTGTCAGGCTGCTGATCTGAAAGGAAAAAAAGGGAAGGTCAAAAAGTGTTACTCATTCGCACTACACCGCCGCCCATCCGTGAGGCGTCGTCCTCTCCGCCCTAACTAGTAATCGATACGTGGGGCTCTGTGGTCGTTACTACCACTTCCTTTAACGCATCTGGTGGGTCGGTGTCGGTTACCGGACGCTGAGACCATGAAATGGGATTAGTAATGTGAGTTACCGGTCTAAGACGATTGAAATGGACAACAATTGAACGGTCGGGGTCTTCACCTTGTCTGTAAATTCGACAGGTAGAGTCAGTAGACACTTCCCGACCACGAATGGGCCAGAACACTCCTTGTGCACCTTCCCTGGAACGCCCTGAGGTGGATTCGGAGTGTGGAGGTAGACTCGTTGTCCAGGTTGAAGTAGACAGCCGTGCACTTGCTGGTCATAGCAATCATTTTGACATCGACAGGCAGCTCCTAAGTGCTCTTGCGTGAGAGAATACGCTTTGGTCAGATCCCGGCGTAGAAGAACGGCATAGTCTGTGGCAAGGAGCGAATCAGCAACCGCGATTGGCACAGTTAAGTCCATCGGCAATCTCATTTCGCGCCCAGTTACCATGTATTGTGGAGTATTATCAGTAGATGAGTGAATGCTGGACCAATAGGAAAGGAGGCACTGTGGAAGTAGAATATGCCAATCGCGGCGGTGGTTTTCCTCTGTGAACGCTTTTATAAGAGTCTTCAGCGATCGATTTGTGCTCTCTACTTGTCCATTGCTCTGGGGATGGTAGGATGTTGTCATTGTCTTTTGAATGCCTAGTGTTCGGCGGAGTTCAGGCAGTACCATGCTTTCGAAATTTGAACCACGATCTGAATGAAGTTGCTCAGGTGCACCGCACCGTGAATTCCAGTGGTCAAATACTAGCTGAGTTGTGGATTTGGTGTAAATGTACGGGGTTGGTATTGCCTCAACCTTTGGTGAAATAATCGACCAAAACAAGTATATACCGGTTCCCTCGTGGCCTTTCAGGCAGGGGTCCAAGTACGTCCACTCCTACGGTATTGTTGGTATATCCGCTCACCATAGACCGCAGGGTGTCCTGTTTATCATTTGTGATTTCTTAAAGCGAATGCACTCATGGGACGCGTTACAAAAGTTCTCAATATATCGACGCTGTTGAGGCCACCAAAAACGCAAACATGGTGCTTGCTCCACTTTCCGTAGTCCGCCATGCCCCAACTCCATATGTATCTGTTCGAGTATCCGCTGCAACATGGAGTGTAAAAAGATAAGTCTACTAGGGTAATTCGGACCAAACTGATGGTACATGTCACCATCCAATAACCGAATTTGCCACCACAGAGACCACAAGCAATGCGCTTCCCAGCTAGATTCAGCCATTTCTGTTTTCGTAGGTGTCACACTAACCTGTTGTAGGCGCTAATAAATCAACTTGGCCTCTGGGTCTGTACTGTAAGCTGAATCCCAATCTGTTGAATCCGAATGGTTCAGAGACACAACGGCAACGTTCGAGGTTGAACTCGATGGACAATCCCATGAGCCCTAGACGGCCGGCGAGACAGGACGTCGGTATTTCCGTGTTGCTCCCGGGGCGACGTTATCATTCAAAGTCGAAGGCTTGCAATTGTTCTTGTTAACACGATACTTGCCCTTCGGGTCTGCGAAATTCCCCCAGCCACCGGAGCGCCTGCTGATCAGTAGGGACTATAAAGTTTCGACCCAACAAGAAATGTGGGGAATGTTTAACGAAGAAGACCAGGGCAAGCATTTTGTTTCTAGTAGTGCAATAGTTTTGCCCCGTTTTTTCAACTTGCGGCTAGTTAAGTGACAACCTGTTTCTAAACCAGCCCCATCGATAACAACCTCACTAGCATCAGTGTCCAATATGGATGGGGCGGCTTGCGGTGACACATCTAGGAAGACAACGACTTGGGCGCTGGCCAAAGCATGACGTAACTCATCAAAAGATTCCTGACAATGCAGGCTTCAGTGGAAATGCCAAACCTTTTCCGTGAGCCAGGACAAGGGTGCCGACATATCTGCATAGTTTTTCACGAAGCGACTCTAATAAGTAGCCAGACACAGAAGGCTCCAAAACTCTTCCACGTACCCCAGAATCGGCCAATGTAAGATAGCCTGTACTTTTGAAGGGTCGCACCGGATCCCACAATCGCTGATCACGTTGTTAGAACCCAAGGGATCGACGGTACTTGCTTATTGCTAAAGTGGCTTACACTAGGTGTGTTCGTCCATACATTGGAGGCGTCCGCTCATCTGCGTGATCTCCATGGATTGTTTCTCAACTGGAGCTTGCCTCTGTGTTCACTCCTCGTGCGCATGGAACTGTAATCCTGATGTTATCTTCAACTTTGGGGAATTCGACAAGGCTCGCTGTTGGTGTGTCATCTTGCACCACCACACTACTTATACCCGGCGCAATAGTATCTACTTTGATCCACCACATTCCTCCCCTCCAAAGGACTCGCGTCAGCTGCCTTTCGTCGGAGTCTTTCTGACCGCCGGGGATGTTCACTGTATGAGCGTGCTTCCTCCTCCAATTCGGACCACTTGCTCAGCTCGCCGGCATTCACCATCCGCGATTCACCTTGCCGAGCGATTGTATACACTGGGCCTCGCCGGTCTAGTACCTCGTGCGGTCCTTTCCACTTCGCCAGGAGTTTCCACTCCACTTTGCCGCAAGTAAGATAACGTTGTTGGTCCCTGTACTTCACTTTTGAACCAATCTGAAACTCGATATTCCTTCCACCTTTGCTGGTCTGGAACATCACCATCCACCACGCCTGAGTCGCCTGAAGGTTGCGGTTGGCGGTCTTCCGGTTATTCCGTGTCTCCTCGGGAGATTTACGGCAAGATGGTCACATTCCAATTTCTAGGTCCACAGGTAGACGAAGTTGCCGACCGTACATCAACTGGAATGGTGATTTCTTTTTGGAAGCCTGTTTGGTTGCTCGATGGGCCAGCAACAGTAGCGGCAACGTTTCCTCCCAGTCTTCACCTTTTGCTTCTATCAACTCATTGCTTGTTCTATTGTTACGTTCCGTCAGGCCATTTGTTTGCGGGTTTTATGGAATGGTGCGCAATTTCTTAATGCCAAGTTTCTCCAAACAGTTCCGGAATGCTTCACTCTCGAAGCACGGCCCTTGGTCTGTTAATATGGCCTTTGGGATTCCGTGAGCCGCTACCAAGTGATCTATGACAGCATGGGCAACGGTGCTAGCCTGTTGATCCGGGATTCCTGTCGCCTCAATCCATGGCGTGAAGTACTCCGTCATCAATAAAATATATTGGTTGCCACGCCTGGTCAATGAAAACAGCCCCATCACGTCGACCGACCAAAGTTCACCAATTTTCGAGACCGGGATCATCATCGTTTGCTGCTGCATTCCTCGGCAATCCGTTTTCATGAGCTGACATTGTCTGCACGAAAGTATGTATTTCTCAATGTCCCCTTTCGTCTCCGGCTAATACTCGCCTTGTTTCAGCAGATCGTAGGTCCTGGAACAACATGTGTGCGCCATCTCGTGACAGGAAACTACCAGATTCCGTCTTATTTTCATTGGAATGACTGGCACCGAAGGGTTGCTACCTCCTGGCATCCACATTAAGATCCCTGCTTCGTTCACTTGCAGCTTTCCCAGGTCTTTTGCAAACGGTCTCAGCTGCTTAAGTTTGTTTTTGTTGAAGTTTGTCTGACCAGCTATTTGCGCGGTGATCAAATTGCGCAGGAGTTTGTCACTACGTTGCTCAGTTGCCAACCGTTCTGGATCCTGCTCGCACAGTATACCGTTAATACCGAAAGCTACGCTCGGCAGGTCATCATCATCTATCATGCGTGACAAGAAATCCGCCGTCTGATTTTCCCTCCCCGACACGTGTTTTATCTTGAAATCATACTCTTGAAGGCGCAATGCCCATCTCACCAGCTTTCCTCTCGGGTCTTTGGAAGACTTAATCCACTCCAAATGTCTGTGGTCTGTTTCAACGTGAAATCACTGACCCAGGATATATGGTCACCATTTGTCTAACACCCAGACAATTGCGAGACATTCTTTCTTTATGGTTGGGTATCTGCGTTCCGCAGGTGTCAAAGTTCGGCAGGCATACTCAATCGTCCCATGGTTTTGTTTCAACACCGCACCGATCCCGGCATCGCTGGCGTCAGTGGCTACCGCGAATACCACACAAGAAATGGGCAATTTGAGGGTTTAACTCTTGCCTTCCCATTTCC